CCCCAAAACCCCAAAACCCCAAAACCCCAAAACCCCGACAGGCTCTTTTGGTATTGAATTATTGTGAATTATTTGTTGATTACAAAGCTATATAAACTACCTTTTTGGAAAACATAGCAATGGCTCTATCAATTTCAACTAATTTGTTCTCAAGCTCATCTCTCCTCTTATTAAGCGCATGCGTTCTCATACTGATAGGTAATTTCTCAAGCACGGTGTTGACTTCTTTCTTGTTGTTCTCGAGATCTCTTAGGGTAGCTAATCTTTCACCCTCGTCCATTCTTTTGCAGCCTGGAGGGACATCCTTATCAGCTTCCATCCTAGCTTTTATTTCTTCCTGTTGCTTTCTCTCATTATTGTACTTGTTGAGGTATTTGGGGACTTTACCAAAACTCTTGTGCTTAGGACCCTTTGCTTCCTCCTTATTGGAGACTGTGCCTCTGGCCTTAACCTTCATGGAGTTCTCATCAACAGCTTCTTTGTAGTTAGACTTTATGTAATTCTTCTGCTTCTTTGGAGCAATATATCCCTTTTCTTTTGGGATTATTTGCTTTTTGGGAGCCTTGTGCTCTTCCTCCATGAAAGGCTTGGATTGGGTCTTCTTCTTAGGAACAGGGATGTTCCTTGGAGCATACTTCTCACGATGAGCAGCCACTGGATCTACCTTCTCCCCCAAAGCATAGATATCTTCCTTGCTTTCAGGAGTGTAGTATACGATGTTTGGTTGCTCTGGTGGAGGTGGATTATGTGCACCTATTTTATAACTAGCAGGAGGTGCCTCTCTCTTTGGAGCCTGAGGAGGTTTATGAGTGGCTTTAGGTTTCGGAGGATTATAACTTGCTTCTGGGCGTTTGTAGCTACCTCGACTATGAGTAGAAGATATCATATCATTTCCAGCAGATTGGAGAGTAGAGCTTCTCTTTGGAGGCTCTTTATTATTCTGACTCTTCTCGTCCAAAGGTCTTCCTTGCATTTTCATTTGCTTAAATTTTTCAGCTTTGGTCATTTTCCTTCCTTGAGTAGGAGCTGGAGGGGCTCTACCATGATCCTGAGTTTTGGATCTCGAATGGTCAGGAGCTTGTACATGCCCTTCAGATTTATAATTCTCCTTGCTTAAGCCACCAGTTCTGTCAAGCTTGGGTTTGACATCTCTGAATTTCTTAAGCACCCATTTATTTTCTTTAGTGGCATCGGCCTTTTGTTTTTGAAGCTTATGCTGGGTTTCTCTCTGAATTTGTTGGAGTTCCTCATAGTTTTGTCTCATATAGTTCTTATTAGCTCCAGTTCCAGCCCCACCTCCGTAGATGAGATCCTGTACTTCTGATTTTTCAGCCCTCGCTCTTTGATACATTTTTTATTTTTATAATTTCAATAGGTAATTCAAATTTGGGGTTTTGGGGTTTTGGGGTTTTGGGGTTTTGGGG